AGAGTTAGCCCCAAAATGGCTTTACTGAATTCAAATGCCAGTTCTCAGGAACCATTGTAAAAAATTTGCGTGTTTGCTTTTAAGAACATTGTACTCTGTAGTTCAGAGGTCCAGGGCCTTCGAGTCCGGTTTTTATGGAGTGCCCCATGATCTGCTTCGGCTATGATGTGCAGACCTTTAGCTCAGTCCCAGGTCCCGGGAGTCTACTTGAATCCTGATGGTTAGTGGTTAAAATGCTCAGCTGCTAACCAAAATGTTGCCAGTTCTATCCCAGCCATCTAAGAAACAGATCCAGATATACGGTGATACAGATGCTATTTCCCATGGTAGAATTATTAGATCTTAAAAATAAACATGTTTACATGGTACCTGGTGGAGCTGACACCTTCAAAAAATGTTAGTAGTCCCCATCATCATTTCCATCAGTCAGAACAGAAGGGCTTACCCAATGAAACAATCACAACCACGGCTAAGTCATTTTGGGAAAAGTTACACGTCAACCTCAGTTCTTACTCTGAAATGAATTCCTGGTGAGCTCAATATTAAGTGAAAAAAATGTAGCTGCAAAACGTCTAGAGGAAAATGCAGGGACTGTCTGCGCAGTCCTGGGATGGGAAGGAATTCTCCAGCGCAAAAGCCCGTCTGGCGCTTCTCTCACTTTCTGCTGGCTCCGTAAGCAGCGTCCGGAAACGTTCACTCTCCGAATTAAGATGGAAAACTACGAAAACCTCCTGTGGTCCGGACTGGGATCCCGGGACAATCATTTGTCAACCCGTGCTAGGTGATCAGCTTCCTTCGTTCTTTCTCGTGGGCTCCCAGTTATTGCCGGTTAGCCAACGGCACACTTCTCATTCCCAGGGCCAGACTTCTCAGTTCCAAACATACCTGCTCACTTGACACTCACACCTATGAACAAAATTCAAGCTCTCTTCCAGACGACTTCCTATTGCAGTGGTCATATCACCACCCACAGACTGGTCCTTGTTAAGGGCCTAAGAACCGCTTTACTTAACCCTCTCCTACATCATCCACACCCTACAAGGCTCATAAATCAACACAGAAAAACAACACACATGCATCTCTCAGAAGAAACAATGGGCCGAAGACATGAACATGCAATTCACAAAAGAACTGCAGTGGCCAATTAACATAAACTTTTTTTTACTTCCCTAATTATCAAATATGCAAATCAAAAGAACAATTAGATGATAATTTTTCATGCACCAGACTGGCAAACATTTAAAAGACTGAGGAGGTACATCTGTTTACCATTTTAGGGTCCAAGTCTTTTAATAACATACTTCTCGTTCCCAATCAGAATTAACTGATGCCATCCAGATCCTAGCTGTTCGCTCATCCAAAAAGTAGTTCACTGGACTATCAGGATTTGTGTGAATAACAAATTAAAACTATGATCTGCTCTGTAGAACCTTCGCCTAATTCATAATAAGAAGTTTAAAAATAAATAAGTAATAGTGTGTTCACTGGAGAAATAAATTTGCTGACAATATTTTCTGGCTCATAATTACAAAAGCAATTTTCCTAGAGGAGTTTAACAAAAATGGGATTTAGAACTATATGCATATAATTATAAATACAGACATAACTAAGTAAATGTAGTTTGTGAGGTTACCTTTTTCCTCAAGAGAAGTCTCCATAAAGATTTTTCTGTACCGTGTGTTCTAGAGTGGGTCCAAGAACTTTTCTTGCAGAGTAAAGAAGATGTTAACAGTGATTATCTCTGGGTGGTGAGGTGGGAGGCTTTATTATTTGGCATGCTTCTCTGCCTTCTTGAATTTTCAAACTCTGTTTATAGTCAGGATGGGGATTAACTATTTTTATTTTTTTCTTCATAAATATATGGGACTTGTTTTAGTTATGAGAGAAAAAATAGTGATATTACTTTATCAATCACCACAAATATTAATCAGCACATTATATATTCTATGGAGCCCTGGTGATGTAGTGAATTACAAATTGGGCTGCTAACCACAAGGTCAGCAGTTCAAAGCCACCAGCTGCTCCAAGGGAGAAAGATGAGGCTTTCTACTCCCATAAAGAATTGCAGTCTTGGAAATTCACAAGGACAGTTCTACCCTCTCCTATAGAGTTGCTATGAGTCAGAACTGACTCAATGGCAGTGATATATCTCCTCTCTCTCTCTCTCTATATATATATATATATATACACATATATACATATATATACACACACACTGTAACTGTTACTCAGTCTTACAAGCCTCGTTCTGATAAACCAAGGTTAAAATCACATAAGTAAAGCAGTTCCATAGCCAATAAAAAGAACTAAACTGGCTCTCAATTTAACAGGACGTATGAAAAGGCTTCAAAAAGTTCGTGGGAAAATTCTTTTCTCTTTTAATTCCATTTTTGAGGAACTTTCAGAAACAGCCCGACCCCCACCCCAATATAATCAACCAAATGGTAAGTGGTCTAACACAAACCATACTTGCTAAGTCATAAATAATGTGTTCTATCTAATTCATACTATGAAAAGTCATGGTACAGAAAATATTACACAATTCCTCACTGGGATCTGATATTCCATATTCTTATCACATAAACTGTCATTCCAAACGTCAAGGTAGGTTCTGTTACTAAACTCTTCCGTGGAACATCTGGAAAGCAGGACGGAGGCTAGGCTTAGGGACAGTGAATTAAAGGGAATAGCCCTGGAAAAAATGGATGATCTTCCAAGGAAGGAGTTAACACTGTGCTGGACATTGCACGTGTGTTTCATATTCACACCCACCTCAGGTGTTCCCATTCTTAGCCCCATCTTGGCCAGGAGGTCTCACAACCAGAGCAGCAGAGACAGTATTGAATGTCAGTCAGGGCAAGGCCCACACCATAGCTGGTTCTTTGCCCGCTGGCTCTCACCTCAACAAAAAAGGGGCATGTTAAGTCAGATTGTGAGAATCATTCAAAAGTAATCCAGGCCTCCGTTAATTCCTGTCAAGAAGTTGGTAACGAAACAGTTTAGAGAACACAAAAGACTAGCAATAGAGTTGTTTTCTCTATTGAGAACAGCTACACAACGCCCTCTACTGGGACATACGAGGCCACCACCGTTCACTACAACAAAGCCTTTTGCTGGACACCAAAGTACTTACCTGAGGCTGAAACAAAGCAACCAGGGATGTGGGGAGACCAGATAGTGCTGTAAATGACACTCTCATGGCCTCTGAAAGTGTGCAGTGACTTCCCAACAGTTGGATCCCACTAAAAATAAATAAATTAAATACTAAATGGGGAAACATTCAAACACATACATTAATATATACTATACATGCAGCCAATATATGTAAATATAAATACAATATACCTAAATACTTCAAGGACTTTTGGAAAACTCTATTGTTATATAAAGCAAGGTCATATTTAAGGGGTCCAAATAATTAATGCTGCAATAATTACTGTTTATAGTCAAAAGATTAATAAACTTCACCACCACGGAGTCCATTCTGACTCATAGCGACCCTACAGCCAACGTAAAACTGTCCCTCTGAGTTTCCTTTGGAGCCCGAACTACTGACCTTGAAGTCAGCAACCCAACTCATGACCTACTGTGCCACTGGGGCTCAGTATAAGTTGTGTGAGATATATATATATACATATGTTTGTTTGTTTATTTGTTTGTTTTTAAAGAAAAGATCGCTGTCGCATTGAACAGCTAACAGAACCATGTTTCCGAAGAGAAAAGGATTCCGTGGAAGCTTTGGGGAAGAGAAAGGGAGTGTGTGTACTTAAAAACAGTCCAAGCTGACGTACCAGTTTGACAGTCTGATCCCATGAGCCAGACACCACAAGCTGTTCACCTCTGGTTTGGCTCCAGTCGACACTATAAACCTAAAAACATTTTAAAGTGTCACTGAGGAAGCAAGAGTGTCAAGTTCAAGATTGCATTTCTCCTCTTTCTCACAGCGCAGAGTACACCTCATGTTGTTGAAGTCTCGGGGAGTCCTACCAGCCTTGACCTGGTGCCTGAGACATGCAGAGCCCCCGTGCCCACCACTCACAGGGGGCACTGTGCTGCACTGCAACCAAATTGTACAGAATGTGTCAAAACCTTCTTCAGTAAAACAAATGATACATATTTTTATACCTACCAACAAACTGCTGTTTGCAGCACCTTGAAGAAATGTCAAGGCAGATTAGAAAGTTAGTCATCTGAAAAACCTTGCCCAGACAGTGTTGAGCAGAGAGCATTAAAATTCAATTAATATCCACATCTGGCCTTTCTTAGAGAAAGCTCCTAGGAACTAGTGATCCTTTCAGATCTCTAGGTAAACAGTCTGATGCTCTTCGGCGTCTCTAATCTATGCCTCCCTGCTCTCAGTGAACCACTGCAAAGGAACCCTGAGAAAAACCATGAACATTTTTTTTCTCATTTTACACAAAAGACTGGCATCTTTACAGTATCTAAAGACTGCCACATCTTTCTTCTGAGAAGAGGCTGAGATGGGTTCAAACGGCGGCTTTTCCATTAGCAACAGGCTCTGAAGCGGACCTTTACCGAGCACTTACTGCGTGCCAGATGTTGTTATCAATGCTTGACACATTTTCTCTTACTGTTGGTGTGGTAGGTTAAACATTGGGTTACTAACCAAAAGGTCACAAGTTCAAACCCACCATCCACATCTGCTCCATGGGCAAAAGATGAGGCTGCTTCCATAAAGATTTCCAGCCTTAAAGAGCATTTATAGAGGTCTAAATAAAGGCATGTACATATGAAAATAT